CTCGAAAGGGCAAAACAAATGACACGCCCCTACAAGTTAGGAGCTATTTGTATGCTGTGTGCACTTTAGCTAAAGTGTATTGAATCTAGGAATAGGAGCATGCTCATGAATTCATCGTATACGAGTTGGAACGAGTTGTAGCTACAGAAAAGAGTATAGCATGAGGTGGCTACTTGTTTGGGTCATTACTGCTACACGACATTTGATTTATGGCCGATGTTGGCATCAGGCCAGAGAGCGCAGCTGGGGGAACTCGTGCGACTCTTCGCACCGCGCTCTGCTCAAGTAGTAATGAGCAGAGAGAAATTGACAGAGAATTTGCTCAACCATGAAAACTGAGAAGCTTGTGAAGGGCTAACATGGGAATTCAGGTGGAAGGCTTTCGCTCATAGAAAAAACTAGCTGCTGATAATATAACCCTTGTAATGGCCATGGTCCCATTCGGAGACCACAGGGTATTTTCTTTAGATGTTGCCGACCACACTGGTTTCCGATGGTCTTCACTAATCAAAACGGGCTGTCACTAAACACATAAACTAGATCCTCGTAATTACTGCTTAGAAAATGCAACGAGGAGGAGTGGCTGTAACTACTCCCGCTCGAAAGTAGTACTTCACCCCTCTGGATGAGAAAATAATTAGCAACGCGCTAGACTATGGTCTATCCTACGTCCGCTAATGAGCGAGGGATTTTCGGATCGATGAATTACCATTAGTCCTACTGGTTGTCGTCATAAATCTCGCGAATTGCACACCTTTTCCGTTCAACTTTATGGTAGAGAAGCACAGGAGCATTTCAGCGGATTCGTTGGCAAGAATGGTTCACTAGCTTGGCAGGGTTTTTTTTCATTTTGAGATGCGTGGAAATATGAGGTATGGTTGAATGAGAATGGCCAGCCGGAGAGCGAAAGACTAGGAAACCATATATCGAAAAGGCAATAAAGCATGCTGCCAAGGAATAAAATCGTACATAAAGTAGGAAATGATGGTGAGAAGGAAACAAAAATGTAGATTACAGCCTCATGCGGAAGACATTGTGGCTCCCACAATTGAACCGCTTCGCCTCGAAGTAACTAGTTAGCAATAGAAAGTCAGCTTAGCAGTCACCACATGCTGAAATGCTCCTTCGGAAAATGCTCCTCTCCTAATGAGAGTCTATATGTGACAGCCTGCAGCGCGTAAAATGCCGTAACCTTCGGAAAGATAGAGAATAGAGGCGGAGCGTCAAGCTCATAGATGCGAGGGCAGAGCGACGAAGGACAGAGTGATATCTGATCCAGCATACCCTTTTGAGTAGGACCATTGTTGTTTCGGATGACCAAGGATCAAGCAAACACGAAGAAGCAGTTGAAAAAGCATGAAAGAAAAGGAAGAAAAAATTGAAAGAGGAATCTAGGGAATGGATGTGTGAACGCATACTTTCCAGAATGCAAGTTCCTGTGGAGAATGTTAGGCTGAGTTTTGTTCAGATTGCTGGTTTTTCTATATAGAGCTGTCCGATAATTGGTACGAGCTTCAGGAAAATTGTCTGGCTGTCTCACATTCATAGCAATGCATGTATGGGCATACAAAGGAACGAGCTCCAGGACATTCACGAACATGCAAAACATAAACATGAATTGCTCCAAGCGGCAGGGAACTTTTCGGTAAGACATTTTTGGAAGCACCTTGCCAGCCTTTCCCTCCATGGCGATCTAAGCCTCATCGAAAATTTTGTGCTTTTTTGCCTATCTCTCTTGCCTTTATGGTAGGGCGGAAGTGGTGTAGTGGCAAGTGGCACGCTTACCACGCGAGCGGTCCGGGGATCAAATCCTGGGTCGTGAGTCGCCCGGGCCAACCAAGCCTTCCATCCCTCCGGGGTCGGTTAATTGGTACCAGACTTGTCTGGGAGGATAAAAACACTGACTTGTACATCGGCTGGCCCCCGCAAGTCATTGTATAGGCCACATCGCATTCAAACGCCACTACGAATGTACAAATGGAAGTAGAAGCATCCCAAAAAGGGATTGATCAACGGCAAATGCTTTATCCTTATCTCTCTTGCTTTTATTCCGACTCAGCTCTCAACAGGGTCAACAACTCGAGTGAGGCTAACCGAATCTGTTGTGTGAGAGCAGTGTTGTGAGAGTCCTTGGAGGTGGCTTGTTCTTGGTGAAGTAGGGTCATTATTTTGGAAGGCACACTTGAAGGCCTCTGAGGACTGTGAAAAGTTTTGCCGTAATCGAGAGAAATATAAGAAGTTCTGATAAAATAAGCCGTTTCAGCAGTTTAAATGGCTGCCCCTTTTGCTGGTAACCTCAAAATAGACTTAGTAGAATCGAGGAAGCAAAAGCAAAAGAGCGAATGGACCTTGAGTGCTATTCAAAAGAATTACAACTGTACACAACATCAACAAAAGCAAAAGTGATTTGAGGGCAAAAAAAACAGCATAGTGCGAGAGCTGTTGTGTTATATATTCTTGCCGCGCCTGCCCGGGTTACACGTTTCCTCCCTGACGTTCCTTGAAAGCTCTGGGATGGATTGGCCTACACCACTTAACAACAAATCAACAATATTATCGATACCATCGCCATCTGGAGAACGGATGGGGGAGGGGATGGACCAGGGTCAACCCTATGTTGGTACAAGTACCAACGGGGGGTCGTATTTTGAGTTTGTGGGGGGGGTCGTACTTGTTTCGGTTAGCAGAAATTACATGTGATGAGGTGAGAGCGCGCGGGAGAAAATTTGCCGTTTCAGCGTGCGTATATACCCTCCCTAGAAAAGGGAGCAGTGGAAATATGGGTAAAATATAGTGAAATGAGGGAGAAGTAGAGGAAAATAGGGGAAATTTTTGCGGTTTCGTGGTAGCTATCAAGTGGAAATCGGCCACTTGTCGCGATCGACTCTACCCTTACTGCTATAAGTTTGCCGAATGAGCTAAGACCATGGAGAACAAATACTTTTCCAGAAGAGGGTTCGAAGAAGGCGAACTCGCCAAAACGTTAGCCAGTTAATTGTCAGTATAAACGTCATAAGCAGGTCAACAAAGCAATATCATCCAACCACTAGTAGCCGAGGTTGATCGAGTCGAACATGGCATCTCTAGAATAGTTCTGCTAGGTGATGATAGATGTAATATTTCCCGTTGTTTCCTAGGTAGAGTCCAAATGCGTGGCGCACTAAAATGAGTGCGATCAATGTCGAGTAATTTGTCCTCATCCTTTATCTGGTTTTTGTTCGCCGCCACTAGATTGGTTGGTGGACCAAGCTATTGAGTTTCATCAGCAACGAGCTAAAACCCTTTACTAATGAAGAGACAGCAGACGAGAATCAAGCGGGATGGGTGAAAATCTCTATGAAACGGAGAAGTGGTTCTGGAGGTATTCTGGCGTTTCCTTAGCCTCCACTCTGACGCTACTCAATAGTGGTTGCCCTGAAGCTATTGGAGAGCTTCACGAGCGAAATATAACTAAATGTATTGACATCTAATGATTGTTGTGACACTGGCCTGCGTTTGTGTACACAAAATGGAAATTCGTTTTCAGTGCTCCTAATGAAAGACTTGATGAGGTTTTTTCAATGAAGGTAAGACGAAAGCTATTGAAAACCAGAAAAATGGCCACCACTTCCCTTCATCACTTTAACTGAACCAATAAACTCTGCAGTTATGGCTGAAGGGATGCAGTCGGACGTTTTTTGTGAAATGCATAATGTGAAATGAAGAAAGCCTGCTATACAATAAAGAAGCATATAAATCACATGGAAGACATTTTTATAGCTTGCCTAGGAAAATTACTACCAGTATTTTCCGGTTTGGTTAGCTGGTAGCTGACATGGTGCCTTCTAGGTATACATGAACTGATTCTCCAAGCATCTCATTCCTACCTTACTATTAGGTGAAAAGGTCTGATAAACATCAAAGCATCTAGCCATTATCACTGTCTTCTTAGGTACGCCATGTATT